ATTCGAACCCGCCACCTTAGGTGTATGTGGCTGGCGCCTTAGCCGCTTGAGCCACAGGCACCGAGCCTGATTATTTTCTTAGAAAGTGTTTCTGCAGGTAGAATTAATGGGTTAAAGGGTATGAACTGTCTCAGCACCTGTAGCTCAGCAGCTAGGGTGCCAGTCACAAACATCAGAGTTGGGGGGTTTGAATCCAGCCTGGGCCTGCCAAACAACAATGACAGCTACAACCAAAAAATAGCCAGGCGCTGTGGCAGACAACTGTAGTCCCAGCTACCTGGGAGGCTGAGGCAGGAGAATCATTTAAGCCAAGCGTTTGAGGTTGCTGTGAGCTGTCACGGCACCCTACTGAGGGGGACAAAGCAAGATTCTGTCTCAAAAAAAAAAAAGAACCCAAACAAAAAAAAAAACAAAAAACTATATGAACCATTTAGAATCCTTTGAAACATGGAGTCATATAGCAGAAAAAGGTGGTTCTGGAGTCAAGAAAGATAGACTGGGGCCTGGGGTGGGAAGGAGTCATAGACCTCTGCTAATCCTGTCTTTTTTTCTCTGTGTGCCCCTCCTTTCTTCTTTTACTGCTGCCACTGACCCTCACTAAGTGCTATGTGCCTTACATGACTGGTCTTTTTATTTTTATTTTTATTTTTTGCTACAGCGTCTCAAGCTGTCACCCTGGGTAGAGCGCCAGGGTGTTATTATAGTTCACAGCAACCTCAAACTCTTGGGCTTAAGTGATTCTCTTGCCTCAGCCTCCTAAGTAGCTGGTACTACGGGTGCCCATCACAATGCCCAGCTATTTTTTTTGCAGTTGTCATTGTTGTTTAGCTGGCCCGGGCCGGGTTCAAACCCACCAATTTTGGTGTATGTGGCTGGCACTGTAACCACTGTGCTATGGGCGCCAAGCCTGGTCTTTTTAAATATCCCTAAAACCTAAGGAGACAGGGATTCATCACCTCTATCTTACACATGAGACAAGCCAGGGTTGGAGGTGCTCAGTCTCCTGCCTAGGGTCACACAGTGTTGAGTAAGGACATACCCAGCTTGGGCTCTTACCCACTTCTGCTTATTTTTTTTCCTTCTCTATTTCTTCTTCATTTTCTCCTTTCTTTCCCACCTAGGCTTTAGGCCTGCTGCTGCAGCACTATAGAAATTGTTTTGCCCTGTGATAGTGCTCAGGGCAGGGAGGCCACACAGACTGCTATTCCAGAGCACAGTGAAAATCTGAAGGGGGCAGCCCAAGAGCAACCTCCAGCTCTTGGGCTTAAGCGATTCTTTCGCCTCAGCCTCCCAAGTAGCTGGAACTACAGGCGCCCACCACAATGCCTGGCTATTTTTTGTTGAGGTTGTCATCATTGTTGTTTAGCTGGCCCAGGCCGGATTTGAACCTGCCTCACCTACCTTGGCTGGAAGTCTCTCCCTAGAGGTGATGGAGACAGTGGGACCGTGCCTGAGCTGTCTGCTATCTCAGGGGGTCATTGGTGGTTTTTGTTGCAGCCCCATCTCCTGGAAGGGTCTCATCCTTAGAAGTGGTTCTTACTGGGATCCTTTTTGTCCTGCTTCTTCTCATCGTGGTATGCATTTGGCTTATCTGGAAGCAAAGAAAATCAAAAGGTAAGCTGAGCTGACATACCCTCAGTATTCACTGATCTAGATTCTATACCTGAATCTGGGGAGCTAAGGCTGGCAGCAACTAGGAATAGGACTGCTCTGGGAAAATGCTGGATGGGCATAGATATAGACATGATACTTGTCCCTAGGTTTAGGGAGAAAACCAGAAGAGCCATGCACTGGGGACACACAATGCAGAAAGAATTCAATAAACTGCAGAAACACCCTTGGGCAGAGGTGTGAATTCCTATCCTTTGAGAAATTAGAAAATAACTGATTATGCCAGTCTTCTAATTAACTAAGAAATTAATTAGAGCCTTCTAATCAGGAAATCCAATTATATGCATGGGATAAAATCCTCAGAAAAATGGTCAAAGGTTGGAAAGGACTTTGATCACATAATATAATACTCCTCCCCTTATCTGATGATTTGAAGACCCCCTACTCCTTTCAAATAAATGGTCACACATCCATAGTGGCAATGAGTCAGTCCCACTGAGGCAGCTTGGGGAATCTTTGGACAACTATACCTATTAGAAAAAGCCTTTCCTAGGGCTGGGCATAGTGGCTTAGGCCTGTAATCTTAGCAGTCTGGGAGGCCGAGGTGGATAGATTGCCTGAGCTCACAGGTTCAGGACCAGCCTGAGCCAGAATGAGACCCCCACCTCTAAAAATAGCCAGGCATTGTGGCAGGCACCTATAGTCCCAGCTATTCAGGGGGCTGAGGCAAGAGAATCACTCGAGCCCAGGAGTTTGAGGTTGTTATGAGCTATGACACCATGGCACTCTACTGAAGGCGACAAAGTGAGACTCTGTCTCAAAAATAAATAAATTAATTAATTAAGGAAAAAACCCTTCCTAAGCTGAGCTGACATCTATTTTTCTCCCTTTTAGAGAAGCTTCTCTATGAACAGGTGATGGAGGTAGGTAAGTGTCCTGGGATGGGGGTGGAGAAGATGTTTCTTTTTTCATTTCCATACCCCCAGTGTTCACTAATCTAGATTCTGTACCTGAAAATTCCATCCATCTGCTGTTCTTGGTGATGGTGGTGGTGGAGGTGAAATCTGTTGCTTTCAATGTTTACTGACTCTTACTTGTAACAGTGTGCCTTCTGGTATTTTTGGTGATTATGCACTCTTATTTTGTGGGAGCTGTGTGGATTGAATGCAAGGGACATTTTTATTTGTTCAACAAATACTTGATAATTATCTGTGAAATGCCCTGGACTATACTAGATTTTGGGGATACAATGGTGAGTAAAAGCAGACACAGCCTGTGCCTTCCTGGAAGTTTTAGTCTGGTCAGGGAGATTATGCAAATTAAATACTACACAAATAAATAAGTACAAATGCCACAAAAGCAAGCTGCTAGGTCTGTGAAGAGTACCATATGACCAGGAAGACCCAACAAGCTGAGGGCGTGGGGATGTGATGTCTGACTTCAAGGACAGGAAGTCCTGAGTGAAGAGGGAATGGAAAACCATCTACCATAGAAGGAACAGTTTGTGAGAGAGGCATGGTGGGGAAGGGCAGCACACATTTGGAGAGCAGAGAAGGTGCAAGAGCAAGAAGTGGCAAGGACAAAAATGGGGTGGTGGGCAGGGTTTGGGCCACCTGAGGCCTTGCAGACCACATTGAAGACAGTCCTTTCCCTGAGAGCAGTGATAAAGCGATGCACAGGCATATCCATTCAGAATCGTGCTTTGAAAAATTCTCTCTGGCTGTAGTGTTGAGAAGAGACCAGAGAAAGTATGGTAGGGTGTGGGCAACAATTTGGGCTGCCAATCCTGCCGTCCAGAGAAGAGATGTTCAGGGACTGGATCAGGGAGGTATTGGTGCAGATAGAGAAGGGCAGGACGGAGAACAGCAGGTGAGATCAGTGGGAATCAGGGCCCCTCCCAGTGATGGCAGAGACTCTCATGATCTTATCCTTTCCTTTTTCTAGAAAATCTTCTCTCAGAACATGCAAAAGAAAAAGGTAATTACACGTAAAGGGTAATGGGTAGGAAACAAATAACATGTTCTCTCTCTTCCCCCCTTACATGTCCTCCAAGCTGGGGCAGGTATGGAGTGCACACTGTAGGCACTCTGGCTGTTCTGCCCAAGAGTGGAGGGGAGTGTAGTGTAATGATGGTGGGGGCTTCTCAGGAGTCAGACAGACTTGGGTTTAAATCCTGTTTTTTTAGCCACTTTCTAGCTGAATGACCTTGGGCAAATTTTATGTCCTTCTGAGCATCAGACCATACCTCAAGAAAATGGAAATAATAATTTTATGTACCTCATATTGTTGAAAGGATTCTGTGTTTACCTCAGTGTAAGTACAGGACAAAGTAATTAGAGCCATTAGTAGTGGAAATGCTAACACTGAACCATAACTTCCCTTGGAGCTGGGTCATGTGTCAGGTGTCATGTTCAGCTTCATTGCTCTGACATCTGACACACACATGCCTGGCCCTTAGGGTCTGGTGGTAGACTCAGACATATAACTTTAATTATCTGGCAGGGTCAGTGCTGGGGGGGAGAAAATGTGTGCCGCCTATGTTCCCAAACCTTCTGGGACTTCTGTGTTTGTGAAATTTATAATTTCAGGGGAGCAGGCCGGGCACAGTGTCTCACACCTGTAATCCTAGCACTCTGGGAGGCTGAGGCAGGTGGATCACCTGAGTTCATGATTTTGAGACCAGCCTGAGCCAGAGCGAGACCCCATCTCTAAAAATAGCCCGGCGTTGTGGTGGGTGCCTGTAGTCCCAGCTACTGGGAGGCTGAGGCAAGAGAATCACTTGAGCCCAAGAGTGTGAGGTTGCTGTGAGCTCATGGCACTCTACCAAGGGTGACAAAGTGAGACTATATCTCAAAACAACAACAACAACAAAACTTCAGGGGAGCTACAGTAGAGAATAATGAAGTCATATCAACAAGTTCATGTGAGGACTTTAGATTTACACCTTAGATACTATCATAGCAGACTACAAAAGGACAGCAAATCATACACCCAGGCACTGCAGTTACAAACATACTGAAACACTCATACAGACTGCGGAAATGAAACCAGACAGACTGGGGAAGGAGGAATCGCAGTTTTGGGCAAGCTGGGTCATTGGGAAAGTGTTACCAGGACCATCAGATTCTCCTGGGACATGGGGCCCAAGTCAGGACTGATAGAAATATCAGCATCCTTTTCTTCCTAGAGGGTGGAGTGATGAGGCTTCCAGGGACCTAGGATAAAGGGGCAGGATCTGATCACTCACTCCTCTCTCTCTCTCTCTCTCTCTGGTTTTTAGGAAGACTCCATAAAGCCTTCAGTAAGTTCTGCTCCTCATCTGTGGCGCCTTCTGCTGAGATCTTTGCTTTAGAATGAGTGTCTGAGTTCACTGACTGGAGCAGAAGGGAGAGGGCAAGTGCTGTGCAAGCCGTGCAAATTGGGGATTTCTTGGCTCTCACGGCCTCTTTTCTCAAGTATTTCCTCTTCCTCTTTCTTGGCCAAATGTTACCTAGTCTCAAATGGGAACTGTTTTTACCAGCAAGAGATGTACCTGCATAGGTGAAGCCATCTGGAAGTCCCTTTTATTACCCAGGCATGACATTTCTTAGGTGGGATCCATGATGGACAGATCCTTACTAAACTAAAAGTGCTGGAGCATTGCTTCTCCACCACTTCATGTATGAGGACCTCCATCTATCTATCTATTTATTTATATTGGTTCAGGTTCATTGAGGGTACAAAGAATTAGGTCCCACTGCGTTTGTTAGGTTAAGTCCCTCTTTAATTGTGTGACGACCCCAAGAGGTGTGCCATAACTCTCCATTCCCCTCCCTCCTCTTCTCTCCCCTCTATTTCATTCCCGTGCCCCCCACCTTGAATTCATTTGAGTTTTTCTCTTATGTGGGTATGTATTAGATTGTCTACTGGCTTCATATTAGAATGTGGGAAATTTGAGGTTGCTGTGAGTGAGGTTGATGATATACCACAGGTTGCTAGTCCATTACCATTCCTGGGTTGATGGGCATTTTTAGGCTGTTTCCACATTTTGGCAATTGTAAATTGAGCTCTAGTCTAGTGAAAATGTCCTTATGACAAAATGATTTTTTTCTTCTAGGTAGATGCCTAGTAATGGGATTGTGGGATCAAATGGAAGGTCTAATTTGAGTTCTTTAAGGACTCTCTATACTTTCTTCCAAAAAAGATTGTATTAGTTTGCAGTCCCACTAGCAGTGTAAAAGTGTTCTCTTCTCTCCACATCCACCTCAGCATCTGAGACAACCTCTTTTTAACATTTAAAAAAACAAACAAAACCCTGCAGTACAGGGGTGGTGGCTCAAACCTGTAATCTTAGCACTCTGGTAGGCCAAGGAAGGAGGATCCCTTGAGCTCAGGAGTTCAAGACCAGACTGAGTAAGAAAGAGACCCCATCTCTACTACAAATATAAAGAAATAGCAGGGCATCATGGTGGGCACCTATTGTCCCAGCTACTTGGGAGGCTGGGGCAGGAGGATCCCTTGAGCCCAGAAATTTGAGGTTGCTGTGAGCTAGGCTGATGCCACGGCACTCAGCCCAGGGCGACAAAGTGAAACTCTATCTCAAAACAAGACAAAACAAAACAACTCCCCCAACAAAACCCCCTGCAGACATTTAACATATCCATTTTGTTTTATACTGAGATAGTATATATGATAACAAAATCTAATAGAGACTCAGTTGTTTTTTTTTTTTTTTTTTTTGAGACAGAGCCTCAAGCTGTCCCCCTGGGTAGAGTACTGTGGCATCACAGCTCACAGCAACCTCCAATTCCTGGGCTCAAGTGAGTCCCCTGCCTCAGCCCCCCAAGTAGCTGGGACCACAGGCGCCCACCACAATGCCCAGCTATTTTTTGGTTGCAGCCATCATTGTTGTTTGGTGTGCCCAGGCTGGATTCAAATCCTTCACCTTAGGTGTATGTGGCTGGCACCTTGGCCACTTGAGCCATAAGCGCCAAGCCAGAGACTCAATTTTAAATGAACTTGTATTTTACTCTTCTCTCGTGCACATACATACATTTACATTCACTACCTGTTGGTATGAAATGTTCAGTCTGCATAAAGTTTGGCTCACAAAGGAATTGTCTGATCATCTGCAGTAGTGCTGAGGCCCATGGCACACAGCTGGGAGCTATTGCCATCGTGAACACTCTCATAAGGATGTTCCAGAGTATAGCCATTGAGGATCTGCTCTAGGGCTGTGGTTGGGATGGGATTATAGCACTATGGGAATATAGAAAGCCTCGTTCTGATTTGCCCAATTTTCTTATTTTTTAGAGAAACTCCGAAGTGAACTAAGTAAGTTTCCCATGTTCTTATAACTTTCATGCCGAGTTATCTCCTGTTATCCTGAAATTCACAGTGATAGTTCATCTTCCTTGGTTCTTTTTTCATAGAGTTGAAAAGAGCTGCAGCAAACTCAGGTGAGTTGCACCTTCTCTGCGTTTAACCCCCACCTCTGTGAGTTCTTGATCTCTTTAGTGCTTTAACAACTAATCCCTTCTATGTCTTTCAGGCTGGAGAAGAGCACGGCTGCATTTTGGTAAGTTATAGCAATTAAATAGATCCACATTTCTCTTTTTTTAAAATTTCAGATTAATATGAGGGTATAAACCATTAGGTTACATTGTTTGTGTTTGTTAGGTAAAGTCCAAGTTGTAGTTGAGCCCTTCACCTGGGGGTGTCCTGTATACCCTTACACTGTGCACATTGGGCGAGAGCTCATCAATTCTCTTCTCTTCTCCCCTTGCCCCCACTTGAATTTATTTTGTTTTTCTCTCTTGTGAGCACGTAGTTATTTATCTATTGGTGTGATGTTAGGATGGAATACATTGGATACTTGTTTTATTTTTAAAAATTTGATAACAATAAAAGAAATTACAGTCTGCATTTCAGGGGAATGGAGCATGATCTAAAGTTACAAAGCCTTCAGGAGGATGGGCTCTATTAGATTCACATTTTCAGAGCCCATCCACCTTAAGGCTTTGTAACCTTAGATTGTGCTCCATTCCTTTGAAATGCAGACTGTACACAAGAATGGAAGAAAAAAAATTAAATTTTCCAAATGGATTGGAATGGATTCTTATAAGAGCTTTGACAAATAAGAAGCCAAATCCTTTATATACAAAAGGATTATACAAATTTGGAAGAAAATCAGTAAGACCACCATGCATAAGAAAAGGTAAGAACTGACAGGTAACACAGAAGGAAATGCAAGTGGCTTAATAATAAACATTTTAAGATCTTTAATTTCACTAGTAATGAAAAGTGAACATGAAGACAGTAATACAACTACATTTGGTCCAGTTAAGCAGCATGGTTAATTTTTAAATTTTTTTTAATAATACATAATCCATGTAAAAGTATAAATTTAAATTAGCCAAACAGTTTTGTAAAGTAGTTTATAAATATGTGTGAAGGACATTTGAAATATGATCCTTAGATTTCTACTCTGAGAAGATATTCTGAAATGCTAGCAAATATTTAAATATAAAGGTATCCTTTGCAAATATTGTTGTATAAACTAAAAAAGTCAAGCACCTTAATGTCCTCAAATAAGTGCATATGAAGACCATTTAATGACATTGGAAAATAAATTGCTGTGACCTAATAATAATAGCTATAAAATAAGCTATAAAGCTATGTTCTGTTGATATCAGTGATAACAATGGTTATCTTTGTTTATGTGAATTATTATTTCCATTTGTTTTGCTATGTTTTTCTGTATTTTTCATGCCTACTTTCATAACTATTAAAAATAAATTAAAAAATACAAAAAAACCAGAAAAAAAAGAAATACAGACTGTAATTTCTTTTATTGTTATCATATCTATTTATCAAATTTTAAAAAATCTTTGTGATCTTTTTTAGGTCACAGATTTAGAAAGTCTTCTTTCTTTTAGAGTACTGATAATTATTAGGTTTTCCCTTATTATTTTTTTAAAGATTTTTTTTTTTTTTT